GAAGAGCGCAATGATGTTGCCAACTTGGGCCAGTGAAGCAATGTCCTCCACAACTAGACTGAAGAACAAAACGACAGCAACTTGTCTGTTCCCCTTCCTCCCAATTCCCCAGCGCTGTTATCCCCCAATTCCCCAATAAAAAATAAAAAATAAAAAAAGCAAGAATTTTTGAAGGCATGGTAAAATAACAGCATTAAGTTTTCCTCTATTTCTAATAGCATCATAACCCAAGATAATGAGATGATAGCAAGCCAAGCCATTATCTGTTTTCTCATTAGGGCAGTCTTGATTCTGTGAATCTGTTCCATTGAGACTTTTCATGCTGATCTGACCGGCCCAACCAATAGATGTCTATAGGCCAACAGCAGGCCTAGATTGGCTGCTCTCTTCAGTATTTGTAAAGCTTGTCTCTCATTTTCCTGATCTCTGGCTTTCCAACCGTCTCCACCCATTGCCCCACGATTATCCAGCTGAGGTCTGCTCACTAGATGAAGGGACTGAGACTTTGTAAAGATCAACCATCTGGAGGTGACAGAGCACTGAGTCCAGCTCTATGGATACTATGAGTTCAGGGTAAAGAGAAGCTTGAATCTATATGGTAGGAACCATATAGGGTCCAAGAGAAAATGCTGGCAGTTAGACTCAGTCCTCTATCGCCCCCAGTCATCTTTCAAAACTACACACACACACACACACACACACACACACACACACACACACACACACACACCCTTTGAAGTTTTAGACAAGAATCACTGAACAGTGTGCAGAGGATTTTCTATTGGCAGCTCACAATGAGCAGCTGTGGTGTAGCAGCTGATGAGAAAAAAACCTGGCCTCCCAGCTCTGTCACTTACTAGTCAGTTGATCTTAATTAAATCTCATTTAAGCCTTGGTCACTTCAACCATAAATGGAATAAAGTGAACCTCACAAAGTAGCTGTGAAGAATAAATGAGATAATACAGGACCACCTTAATCAGAATACATTCTAAACTACCTAGCCTGGTTGATAGACCCATACTCTGCCCCTGGTCAACTCTCTGTCTTCATTCCTTATTATGCTCCATCAAATGCACCAACCACTGATCACACTGCCTTTCTCTTTATCTCTTTGATGTGCCAAGCCCTTTTTGAGAAGAGAGGCCTCTCTCTTTACCTGAAATGCTCACACCAAGGGCTCATATAACTATCCTTCTCTTCATTTAGGTATCAGCTCAAAGCTCACCTCTTCAGAAAGGACCACTTGAAACACCTACAAAAGTAGCAGCCTTCTTATTTAATGTTCTACCCCATTGTTCCTTGTTTTAATTTCTTCATAGCAGTTATCAATAATTGAAATATCAAAATTACTTATATTTACAGGTTGTGTTTTTTTATCCATCTCCTTCTACAACTAAAGCACTCCAGCCTATCACAGTGCTAGAAACATAGTATTTGCTCAATAAATAGCATTTCAACGAATGAGTGAATTCCATCTTTTAACATGACTAAAGTCTTATTAGGTTCTACGGATGGTACAGTGAAAAAGTCAGTCAACTCTCCAATTGGGGAGACCAAAATTCCACTAGTAAGTTTGGAATAGTAACAGGTGTGAGTGTATGTGTACAGGGTGGGGAGGGTTGGCAGACTTTGTTCTTCCTTCCACATGGAACACTAGAAAAGAAAAACAATTGACTTGTGGTATAAGATGAAAAAACTCAGCCTTTCTGACCTTTCATTTGTTCTAAACCACAAGATTATATCAACCATGGAAACTGGACCAGTTTCTCTCCATCCAAAGAGAATGCATGCCAATTTAATTGAATTGAACATTAAAAATTCTTTTCAAAATGCTCTCCCTCCCACTCAGATGTTTGGATTATTGATGTCCTCTGACTTCAGATGTTAACAATATGTTCAAGTTTGAGGAAACCTTGAGAAACAAAAGGAGCTATAAAAACGTCTGCACCCAATCCCAGAACTATACTGCACTGCCTCCTTTCTTGTGACCCTGAACAAAAAGTCTATTCATTCACTCAACAGGCATTATGAGAGACCGTAACGTTTTGTGAAGCCCCACAGGAAGCAGATGGATAGTTACATTAGCAGGTTTCCTGATGATCTGATCAGGTCAACGACTTGCTTGTGGGTAAAGCCTTCTGTGCTCACACCATTGATATTTGCAAGGACATCACCTGGGAGTTGCCAAGAAAAAAAATGAGTGTTAAAGCAGTTGGTTAAATCATCCTTCCTGACATACAAATGAAGGGCAACAAGCAAGCTTCAAACTGTAACAACATACAGGCGCTAAGAAAATTCAGAGCAGCAATCACACACATCCAGACCTTCATTATCAAAAAGTGTTCTTTTCTTGCTATTTAAATAATTTCTACCACAAGCAAAGTTGTAAGTTACCAGCTTGGAGGCCAGCACATTGTGCTGGGCTGTCGTCCTGAATTTTGGAGATCAGGGTGCGCAGCTCTGAGGAGCAGGTGTTCTGGTTCTGCTGCCTGTACGTCTGTCAAAAATGAAGGGATACCAAATTACTATTCAAAAAACTCAAGATCTATGTGTCAAAAAAGTTAAAGGGTGTCAGTTACCTTAAGTTACGATATAATAGGTAAATGCCAAAAACAATTTGGAAAGGCTTTCCTGAATAGAAACTGAATCAAAGGTACCAGTTCTGTAACCCTATAGGTAATCTGCAGCCAATCACATTCATTAAAAAAAAAAAATCTAGCTTGAGAACAAAAGTAGGATGAGACTGGCTAAAGATTTTATACTTTCAAGGGTAACATGATTGCATGTTTATGAAGAATAATCAAGTTTCCCACTTCCCAATGGGATAAAACAATAGTGGCCAAAAGCAAAGGGAAAGATCTCCATGAGGTTCTCTCCCCCTAAAGGGCTCGTTACAGGAGAGTAGAAAACAGTACACCCCCAGCAATGGACATATGTCAACAATAATTATTTTAAATCAGGGTTCTACACATAATGACAATCTGCCCTAAATTAATTCAAAAATACTATAGTTGACTCAATAACCTTCATTTCTGAGCACTCGCTGGTACGGCTGCCATGATTCCTCACCGGTTCGTTAGTTACCCAACTAAATTAGAAGAAATTATGCTTCTCTTGCCTCAATTTGGCAACATCAGTTTCTTTTTGTTCTTCAAATTGTACCAAGAGCGCTGGATCAATGTTTGCTAGGTATAGTGGCCCAATGACCTATAACAAGCATATTTTGCTTCTTCACACATTTAAGAGATCTAGTTCCACTCAGAGTCAAAATCAGCATTCTGATTTTAAACATCTGATTCCTAAAATTAAGCCCCATTTCAAGTACTGCTTCCTTGTGGGGAAATTAATGTCTGGTGATCATTCCTTCCTATTTTACAGCCTTACAGACTCCAGGACCAGAAGTCAGTCATGTGCACGCGACTTCTGGTAACTAGATTTTGTTAACCTGTAAATTATTTCTATTCACTCTAGAAGGCATTTAGAATCCCCATATCTTAAAGGTAAAAGGACCTTTAAAGATCATGTAATACATTTCCCACCTATGCCAGTGACCCTTTAATAGCTTTCTGTCAGAGAGTCTTCTTACCACAGCCCAGACCTTTCCTGAGACAGTAGAGTATTCTAGTTTGTGTGGCCCATGAACCAAACCTATAACAGACACTCTTTTGGGAAACCAGTGTTCTAACAACTCTAAATAGCAGTGAAATTCTACCAGAAATGTCTAGTGATCAAAGTGAGTACAGTGAAGGGAAATGTTGATGTATGTACCTAGTACCTGCATAAATGTTTGCAACAGGTGTAAAATTTGTGGGCTAGAGATAGAGAAGAAAAAGCAGAGGTCCCAAACTTATGGAAAAAAATAATTACTTGAATCAATCTGCTCGCTCTCTCTCAATCTCTCTCTCCCAGACTTCTAGCTCCCATTTTTAATGATAGGACAATCCTGAGATACACAAAAGTCACATCGCCCTTTCCCATGCCCAGTGAGCTTTATTCTAACGCTTCTCATTTGCTGATCTTCCACTGCATATGACTAACTACTTTCTATGCATTATTTCATTTGAAATTCCTAAAAACCCCATCAGGCAGCATCGAGAGAACATGAACTCAGATGTGCATGAATCTAGCATCTGTGTTCCTATCACTCTGCATGATTCTCATTAGCAGCGTAAAAGTAGCACCATGAAAAACCAGAGAGGAGGGCGGACGTATTCGCTTCCAGTGTGCCCTTCACCTGATAGACCAGGACCCAAATACGTGTTAACAATGGGTGCACAATGTGGGTATATGAGGTTCTAGTTGGTCCTCAAAAAGCTCCCACAGCATTTCCCCCATTTGATGACTACTGCAGATTTTATGAGTACTGGAGAATGGAGGATGGCATGGAGCTGGTATTGGGAAGCATGCACCAAAAGGGCATGTGTAGAGAGGAGTGGGTTCCTGTGTTATGGAGATGACACATACATGCTCCAGTCCAGAGGTGAAGCCTTTAGCTCATGTTGATCTGCAAAGGTACATGGTGCTGTAGCCTGTTGTCTACTAATGAGAGCTTTGACTCTTTCTCCACGTAGAATAAGTGTTTATGGTATGAGGGAGAAATATGTGAAAGCAGTGACATATATTATAGAAGAGTGAGAAAAACTCCTAATTTGTCACTTTAAATGAAGGTAGGTGAGTAGTCACTGATTCTGTTTTCAGTAGCAATGGCTGTGCCTCCTTGTAAATAATTCTCATTTAAAAAGAAGGAGTCACAAAAAGTACAGTGTCTCTACAACAGAATAGGGGGTGATGCATGTGAGTAAAGAATAAAAAAAGAGCACTATGCTCCTAAAACTTGATGGAAGAATTGTAGATTTCACCAAATTTAAAAGTAGAATTCAGAAAGTTGACAATATCTTCTTTTCTCCTACAGCTTTCTCCCTGTTCATTGCACATAGAGTTCTATTTTATGTCTTTAGACATAAAGTATATTTTACTTAGCTTCCTATTTCTTACCTTAAAATACATTCTGACTTAACAGTTGTGGGGCTGATATTTAGTGACCAAAATTTCTGAAAGCAGAACCAAAGCTAGGACCTAAAACCTCAGATGCAGTGTAAGGATATGATTATGCAAAATACATCTAAAAGAAATGCAAAAATGTAATGGGGAAAAAAAAACAGTTAACACTACTGTTGCACTTAATCGGATTAGGCTTCATTTGACCTACCTCATCATCTTTACAAATATGGCATTGAAAAAGCAGACAGCAAACAAATGATATTCTTAGGCCATGACATATAAATCTATAAAGACTTTTAAAGTTTTTCCTAGAGCATGAGACATTATGCAAGTAGAGCAATGTTCTTAAGTATTTCTAGTAATAGTTATAAAGTGTTGTCATTAGTAAAAAAAAAAAAAAAAGTACAAATTTCTCATTGTGTCCAATATGAAATGTTTAGTATTCTCAAAATGTGTCAGAAGCTATACATGAATACATACAGTCCTTATTACAAATATATATGCTTTCAAGTACTTCTTGAATACCAAACTATAGATTTAAAATCTGACATACAGTATAAAAAAATGATCATGCAAACACATCAAAAATGCAAATATATAAAATGCACACCTAGAAAGAAGAGTATTTTACCCTCTAATTTAAGCCCTGGCTGATACCAAGCATTACGGATCAGTCTCAGGCTGAAACAACGAAGAACAAGGAACTGAGTCTCCGGGGGGTTATTTTACGTGTTTTCTTTCCTTGATGGTCCCCAACACACTGAAAGACTACCAAAACAACCACGCATTGAATGAAAAGTCCCAGCCTCCATTGTTCTCTAATCTTGACTTCATTCTTTCTTTGCACATATCATGATACTACTAGTGCCACTTTCTTCATTAAAAGTCTGGAAAGATTTGAAAATTACCCACCTGAATTTCAAATCCAAATGTTCCATTATCCTGCTTTTCCACAGTAACAAGCTTTCTGTAATAAAAAATAAAAATAAAAAACAGTAAAAAAAAAAACCCAAAAGCTACAAATGAAGATCAAAGTATTACATTTGGCACAAAATTATTAAAATACCTGTCACAAATAAAAATAGCTGACATTAATATTAATTGTAGTATTATGACTCTGTGTGTGTGTGTGTGTGTGTGTGTGTGTGTGTGTGTGTGTGTTTTATCAATCAACAGTCTAGAGAGCTGTGTTCCTAAATAACTTGGTGAGAGACCAAAAAAGAAATGAACCTCTTTACCTTTGAGACCAGGAAAAGTCACCTAAAGAACTTGATCTTGTCAAAGCAAGCTGAAAAACACAACAAGCACACAGTTACCCAAAGGTCCTTAAGACACATCTGTAAAATATTCTAAATCACAAATGACTTTGCTCTTTATCACCTTCTTTGGCCCCTCTCCTGGGAAATTATTACATAAAGGCAGTCATTTCCATTCTCTAGTAATAGCAAAGGAGAGCTGGCAAAGGGAACGTTCAGACATTCTGTTTAAAAGATTTAAAGGGGCTCTGATAATACACTGCAGCAAGAGTTAATGTAACGTGGCAAAACTCCAAAGCTTCCCAAAAGAACTTCATATCTAATCTGTATTTAAAACAGCCTCTGGGTTAGCCATAGCAATTTAGAATCACACTGAAATCCAAAAAAATAAAATAAAATAACACCCATGGAATTACAAATAAAACCCAAATACTTGTTAGATTTTGAAGATGCTGATGAGATGATTGTGCTTATTTTAATAGTTCAATATGTTACTATTTTTAGCAGGTTAAAACAATCTGTAAAGAACCAGCTCATATGCAGAAATGCAATTCAGGTGAAACCAAAGACTCAAAACCTCAATTCTGTTTATGATTTATTTTTGTAACAGTTTTGGAAAAGTGTAGTGAGATTTACAGACAAGAAAGGAAGGGAACCTCGCAATGGTATAAATGTTATGAATATACCACTCCTTTCCATGTTTTCGAAAAGATCATATAAACATAAGCTTCGCGATACATTTTATCTCTGTAAATTTAGGTAAAGTTAACCAAAGGTGGCATCTTGTCTTTTAGGTGATTGCAATGTGTTTTTGCATGTGGTGCTTTGTTTATTTGTCTAGGAATTAATAAATGTTAATTAGCCTTTCCTCAAGTGTTGGTCCAGGGGCCCATAACATCAGCTTGTGCTACCAGATAACCCATGGTGTTTAACTGTCAGCCTAATATGCTTGTCATATAGATCAGTGAATACATAAAATGTCAAATCCATCCATAGTCAGTCCAAACGAAAATAAAATGAATAGCAGATGGAAACCAGAAGGAAAAAAAAATACCATACATAGAAGAAATGCACAAAAGAAATTCTGATTAAGGCATTTATTAGGAGAAAAGCTTATATATATCACTGTAAGAAATTTGAGTTAACAAGCTCCGAATGTCAACATTCTAACAAATTTTCTGGAATGGCTCAGTGTTCACAATTTGGCTAATGGTCAGTTAAGTTAAAGTAATGGAGGGCGGATCTCTTCTCACTAAGCTGATGTAACTTAATTACGTTTTCTAGTCTTGTTAGTGCTGGATGTCAAATCATTTATATCAACCTGAAGACAGAAATAGGAAGACTCAGATCCAAAAAGATTCTCTAGAATTGCTAAAAAAAGCATTTATTTTCAACTTTTAAGGACTGACCATGGAAGATCTACAGCCATTTGTATAGTTGGTTTCAACCTGATCTAGTCCCGATAAACATCATTAACAAGGGTGCGGACCACTCAGCTATGCAGTGGACTGCCTTCTGGTGGTAGGAGGCAATAAACTTGACTTTCCCACGCATTCTCAATCTTTCCCTTATATTGTATTCACATGTTCTTAACCTGTTTTCATTATTCGCATCTGCTTGGCTTTTATCCTTATTTCAGATTATAAGGTACATTGGTAAGTCATATCTAATTATGTCGTTTGTAATCATAACTAGGATTTATATTTAAAAATCAATATTCATCAGATTATTCATATATTCATATGTGTGGAGGCATACATCTATATTTATATGAAGGATCAAATACCTCACTTCTATACATAATTATCTGTATCCTTGGGGTCTTTGGGGAAATGTATTTGTTTTACTTTCTACCCCAATGTCTAACACAGGGCCTGGAATACAGTGGAAACTTAAAAATAGCTAAATAGAAAAACAGAAGTAAACTACTGGTGGTGGGAGATCCAAACTAAAATATTCAAGTTCAGAAGGAATGTGTTAAGATATTCAACATTATCCTTTATTAAATTAAAAATTCACAGTAAAAACTCAAGGGCAATTGTTAAAACTGTAAAATAAAATGTATGAATCTTAAACATGTAGCAAGATTTAAAATGAAAGAAACAAACAAGAACGAAAAAAAAATTTCAATCCAAAAACAGCAAGAACCATAGAAAAAGGATTAATAGAAAACAAAGTTAGTAATGCCTTAATACACAACTGTTAAATGAGTGAATGGTAGCAAGAATTAATGAATTATTACAATTCTGAGCCTTTCCTCAGCAATTTAAAATGCACTTTTGCTAGGCAAATATTCATAGCATTGATGGGAACCCCAAGATTTCATCTGCTATACTCTAAACCTGCCTTCTAAATCAAAAATCATTGTAGATATATCAAATGTAAAATATGTTAAATCCACAAGATAAATCCAAGACTTCTATAGAGAAGGAAATTCCCCACCTGTCTCCTACTAATCTATCTATTATCTATCTATGTATCTATGTATCTGTCTATCTATCTGTCTATTTAATTGATCAGTGGAAGATGAACATATTTGCCTAGCACAACATGAGATGCATAGCAGATACTCAATACCTGTGGACTGACTGATTTGGGTTATCATTGACACACACAGAAATTAGGCTAAGTCAAATTGTGAATTAGTTTTATGATTTATAAATGAGCAATGAGCCTGTCTTAGGCACATACCATTGCAAAAATAAACAATTTAAATAAATTAGGCACCATCAAATTCTCTGACCCTTGCCACATCTTGACACAAAGCCTACTTGTTTTTCATCTGGACTGTCAGACAGGCAATGTGGAAAGGGGTGTTCTCAGGGTTTGCCTTGCTTGCACACCAAATTATCTGCCTAAGTGAAAAGAAGTACGTGTAAGGTCTTATCAAAGGGATTACACTTCGGAAACAGTTTTCCCTGCAGCTCTTTCCCTAAAGTGAGCAGCCCTATTCTAGGATCTAACCAGTGGAGTCTCTGCTCCCAGGCTGCCCTCCCTGAGCCGTTAGCGACGGCACAGAACCCGTGAATGAGGAACTGGTGTGCAATGAACAGCATATGCTGGTAACAGCTGTCTTTTATTACACATTATCTAATATGAGAAATCTAGGTTTAGCAATTTGGCAGGCCTGCAAACTCCACAGTCAGTTATGACAGCTGAGTACACAAGTCCCCTTAACCCCTTGCAAGCCACTAACATAAAGATGCCTGGGGCTGAGTTGATGATATCTCTTCTTTTGTTTTTAGTCAGACGACTTCATGATCAAGCATTGATATTCAAGGCATCATGTTTCCTGCTATCCAGTGATTCACAATGTCCCTTTTTAGCGGGAAACCAAGACTACTTCATCTGTCAGTTTGCAAAAAATCGTGATAATCTGCAGTGCAGCCAGATAGGCTGCCTGGCTCAAAGGAGCTGAAAGGTCAATACTGTGGCCACTTCTGTTGTTAAGTAAGATTGTCACTTCCTGGTCCCCACTCCGTGTACGCATTTCCTGACAGTGTTGGGGAAGGCGGAAGAGATACTTATTCAGAGGTGAGGTTTTCTTCAATTTTGTTGTTTGTTTCCAAAGTCCCCAAATCATGTCCTCTTCTTCCCTCCCAGTCCCCTGCCTCACTCTCCCCAGTTCTTTCATGAATACAGCTTTTTTTCTTTTCCGTCTACATCAGGATTCTTAGGATAGCAGGGCTGCACAGATGATCCTAAGACACAGCAAAATCAAGGAGCTGAACTCCATTGCTTAACTTGTAAGTGCCTTTAAGGAACCTAAAGCAGGTTGCAGCTTCCCGGGGAAGTCTCATTGTGAGCTCAGGACCTTCTTTTCCCAGAAAAATTGTTGGGGATTGACTCCTGGCACGCCACAATATGGATTAGAGAATGCTTTTCAAATTCTTTTTGGTGAAATAAACACAGTTTTCTACCTAAAAGTACTCATTAAATTAGCAAAATACCTTATTGTAGTTAGGAGCACTTAGGAGTTTGGGTAACAGATGGGTATATGACCAGAAATAATGTGAACGCTCCTGAAGGGCAGATTCCATCCCAGAAATACATGCATGACAGACTTGAACACAATATTCTGTACCTGAACTTTTAAGTATTATTACCCTTCCAGAAATTGTCTATTTAGTAAGACAGTTAACCCTTGAACCACATGAGTTTGAACTGTGCAGTTCCACTTATATGGATTTTTTTTTCAGTAAATACTGTAAATGTATTTTCTCTTCCTTAAGATTCTCTTAATATTTTCTTTCCTCTAGCTTACTTTAGTATAAGAATATAGTACATAATACATAGAACATAGAACAAAATATGTGTTAATTGACTGATTATGTTATCATTAAGGCTACCAATCAACAGTAGGCTACTAGTAGTTGTTTTGGAGGAATCAAAATTTATCCATGGATTTTTGACTGCATGGAGTGTCAGCATGCTTAACCCTTGTATTGTTCAAGGGTCAACGGTAATTTGATAACCAAAAGGAAATCAGGCAAAGAGAGTCAGTTTCTGTTACCACTGATGCACATTCAAGCTTCTCACCAGTCAGGTCCCTAGTCTTATTACACCATTTGGTAAAAACTTTTCCAAGAGCAACCTACTGCCCTTGGGAGAGTGGGCAGTAAGATACAACCACTAGTCCTTGGGCATTACAAGATTTATAAAGACTATACTTATTTCCCCCCAGTATTTTATAGTATTTTATAGTATCTTATAGTATTTTCTATTGCAGGTTTTTTAAATTCTAAAACTATGTGCAGAAGAAGGAGCTGTACTGGGATGTCTGTCACCTCCTACATATACAGGTATTAAGATAATATGCTCACACAGAAATCTGTTTTTAAATAATTCTGAGTGTGAACACCCAAATGATTCTGAAGATTAATCTGAAACTACAGGCTCATTCAGATACAGCTTTGCAGAAACCAAAGCCAACAATAATGAGAAGTATGAATTTTTGACGTCAGCCCTGAAAGGGTTGAAAATAACAGTGGGCAGAGAAACACCTGCTCATGTGGTTGCCTCACAGAGATCTGGTTGCATGTGATGCATTCGGTGCCAAATGAGTGATTATTCTCTAAAAACCAGTTAAAAGAAATGAACATCCATTTGGAAAATTGCAAAATGTTGGGAAAAACTTGCCATCGATTTTCATTGACGATAATTGTATAGAATCAGAAGTATCACAAAAAAGGGGTTTCATTTTGCCTTTTTTTTTCTTAAAGTAATTCTCACAACAGTAAGAAAAAAGTTGTTTGAATAGGAGGAGTCTACCGTAGGGAAGGCTATGAGAAAAGTGGGAAGAGAAGACCTAGAAAAGATGAGAATATTCAAATAAATTAATTGGTGTGGGAATGTGTGTATATATATGTGTGTGTATATATATATATATATATATATTATCATGCACAGGTACACACACACACACACACACACATACACACACACACGTGTGTATGTGTGTGTGTGTGCATTTCATATGCCTAAAGCCTTCTCATTATCTTCTTCCAATAACCTCCTGCTGGTTGCCTTTTTTCAGTTCATGCTATCTTCCCTTGGACTTAAAAACCAGATGCCACTCCTGTGTCTTCATTGCCTTTCATATTGACATCTTTGAGTCTCCTCTCCATTCCCTCCTTTTCCTCTTTCTCCAACTACTGCAAAAGTTGCTCCCTCACCATAGTCTCTACCCACTTACTGACATACCACATTTCTAGAATAAGGTTCCTGAAACCTGCTACAGCTCAAACCCGCTCAGTGGTTCCCTGTGCTGGACAAATTACTGCTTCCTTAGAGGAAATGTCCAAGTGTTTCATAAAGTAGCCCAGCTCTGAGGCCTCCCCTCACCTCCCACGCAGACATCAGTTCTTCTGACCCAATAATGTGCTGTTACTGAAACATGTCCTAGAGGTCCCAAGATCTGTGCCTCAGCATTAATTACTCCCTTGTTCTGAAATACCCTTCAATATCTGGAATATCTCTCCAAGGTTGTATCCAAAGACATGTACTTGGATCCAAGCATCAAGCATGTATGATTTTTACTTTGTATAATTTTTATTCATTCTGCCTACTTAAAAAAAAATTGTAAACACAATAAGGGCAGGAAATGTATTCTTCTCATCTCTGTACCTCCTGCACTGCTCTATATCTGAAAGCTGAATAAAGATTTTGGTACTTTCCAGAGGTGCTTTATTTTCAGACCAGTAATAAATTGATAGACATGTTCATCATTATATTAAACTTAATGTCATAAAAGCAGTTTGGGATTGAAAAAGATTGATGATCCAAACCATGACAAATTATGGCTATATCTTCATCGTGAAAAATACCAAGGACTCGGCTATATACATCACTGAGAGAAGAACACAGCTCTCCCACTATGCTCTGTCTAATCCTGAAATTGAAGGCTTAAACAGAGCACATGAGGTACAGGCAAGGTTTAAGGGCAAAAATTCATGCTTTAAAGCAATTCTAGATATTTTCTGTGCAAGTGCTATATCTACATTCACATATATATTGGGGGCATTGTAGCAAGTTATATATAAGTAAAGAGGGTTACAGTTTTAATTTTTTTTTTTTACAAATTGGAAGTCAAACAATAAAATAATTCACAATAAATTCGGGTTGGGCATCGGTTTTTTCAACTCAGTTTTCCTCACTAGAGAAATACATTACAGTAAAAATAATAGTATAAATATTGAGCATATACTACATGTCAATCTCTGTGTTAAGCACTGCACATTTCCTCACTTAAGCAGCAGAAAAGTCCCACAGGATGGTTCTATTATCTTCATTTTAGAAAAAAGAAATCTGAATCTTAGAGATTCTTGCTCAAGATCCCACCGCTATTAAGTGGCCGAGTGATATTCAATCAGGCACTCACTTATCCAACAAAAGTCTTACTTCTCAACAGCATGAGATATGTGTCCATGCCTCAAAGCTGAAGATAACGTAGTCCACAAAATTTGTCCTCAACAAAAAGCACTCTCAATTAATTACAACCTGAAATGACTATCAGACACTGGGAGTGAGGCTGGGAATGAAAGAATCAATGGGAGACATACAGGGTAAAAATCAATAATTCTCAAATGGGTCATGTCTATATTCAGCATCTTCAGGTCTGATGTACCAAATGATTTTCGTTATACCTGAACACCTCTCCAAATGAGAAAAAACAACCTTCTTTTAAATTTTGCCTTGAAAAATAAGTTTTAGTATGGTCTTAAATCTTTGAACTAGTACACGAGGTCTCTGAGCTCTTAACCTTCTTCCTTGCCCATAATCTTAGTAATTAATTCCAAAGCTTCCAAAATAACATTTTTAGTATGAAGTCAGACAAATGCATCGATCTGGTCTCAAGAGAACATAAACACTCTAGAAGGTACACGTAGCAATCATACCTGCTTTCGTCCCCGAGGCAAAGTAGCCACAGTGTCTGCCAGCATTTGAATCCTTCTATTATCATCCATCGAAAAGCTGCCTGGTAGCATGGGATAAGAGCTATATGCTGGACCAGAGCAGTAGTCCACCAAATTCCCATTGCTGCTCTGTTGCACGAGCCTTTGTAAAGACATTGTGAAGAAAGGTTACTTCAGCTGGCACATAGCTGAATGGCCTTGCAGGATGGGGGAAGCTAAAAGTATAACACTTTGACAAGTAATGAGAAGTAGCAAAGCAGAAAGAACCCATGTGACTTCTGTGGTTTGAGGTACTTGTTACACAAACCCTATCTTTCAGTTCACTCCCATTTCTCAGTGCTTTTTTTCTTTGAACCCCTGGAAGAACTTAAAGCTAGTTTTTACCATTAAAAAAGAACCGACTTATTTTTTTCTTTTTCTCCTTCAAGCAGCCAGAACTCTTATGCGTTCATGTTCTACGACAAGTTGTGCTCAAAACACCATCTGCCTTTTTTTTTTTCTGAAGGGAAGAAAGAAAAACTTCCCCAAGTTCTGCCATTTGTTTCCCATCCATTTTCCTACTTAATACGAGCTATGTAAAAGCCAGCATGTGCGAACATTCAGTTCTCATGAATATAAGCAAAAATTACAGGGTCCGGTCACAATGTTCTCTCGCAAAGTCCTTGTAATGTACTTTCCCCAAAGTACACTGTAGCTCATTAATGTTTATCAAAAAGACATTACATCTGCCATTTGGACTGTGACCATTCAGTATTCTCCTGGTTGCCCTTCTATTATTTCGCCCTGGCTAAAATTATCCATCATCTTTACAAGGAACAAGGGGAGGGGAAGACCAGACCATTTAGAGCACCAAGTTGGCCATATCTTAGAGTAGACTTTGAAGCAGCATCAGCTAGTGGTCCCAGGGGAGAAATGAAGAGGGCAGGGAGGTAATAGGCAAACCAAGGTGGCACAAGAATATTGCCAGTGGTCCCTGCATGTGAATATGGGCCAAGAGCACCATCATGAAGTACTCAATATCACAGGTGCTTTTTTTGGCAGGTGTTGGGGACATGCAGTTTTCAGAGAACTGGTTTCAGAGGAGGAACAGGGGACACAAGTAGAAGGAAGAATCAAAACAAAAATCAAAAAGAGAAGTTTTACATAGTCGAACAAGTCAACTGTGATTTTCAAAATCATCTTGAAGGTGACTAGTAGAATTTAAAAGTATTAGAAAGTCTTTGAATTACAATGGAAGTCAAGGTGAATTCAGCTCAAGCGGAACCTGCCAAATGTAAAAATAATAAAATCTTCTGAGGTAACCTTGCTTCCAGAGATGGAGCCACCTCAGGAATTTTTAAAGCCCTATCACAGCATGACTCATTACTATTGGAATTGGGTTATGACTTGAACAAAATGATGTCTCCGAAAACATATAAAGATCCAAATCAGGGATTACAAACACATAGGCCTTCAGGGGCCAGGTGGGTAAAATAATATAACATAAATGCGTAAAACAAAAGGGAGTGGTAGAGACTTTGGCAACTAAAGAATATGTCAATTATAAAGACATTTGTGTAACATGTTTGTGTTTGTGGACACAGAGAGAAAAAGAGAGAGAGAGACTGATTTTAAAAACATCTCCAGGCTATGAGGTACATGACTTAAATCAACATTATTAAGGACAGCAGTCCACCCATCTCCTAGGAATTTAATAAAGTAGCATAATATTTTAATATTTCAAAGTACCAAATGGAAATTATAGACTTGCCTGATGTTAGGCCACATAAACCAAATGACAAACAAATTTTAGAGAAGGTTGTTAAAATTGTATGGATTTAGTGTGTTATACTGATCTTAAGCTAGTAGAAATTATGGAAGCCTAATTTTTAATTAAGAAACTGGCAAACAAATTATTTTTACTTAATTTGCAAAATGTGCTTAATAAGTAGAATCTTTCACATCATCAGGTATATGGCTGCAAAATCAGAGTCAAAGGTAGACCTGATATTCAGTCAGTACCTACCAGCATAATCACATTTGGTACATATTTATAACCCGGTCTATTTTGATTGGTCAGTTCACTGTTCTGGTTGTCAGGACCTGTGTCATACAAGTTATTAAAATTTTCAAATAACATCCCTGATCAAAAGTATGCTTTGTGATAAAATGTAAGGTAACACTATTCCTTTCACACAAATGTGACTTCCAGCCTCAAACACTTGACTCACGAAGGTGTTCTACTATTTACAAGTTCTTTTTTCTGCAGAATTTACCTTAGGACAATTATAATAGCTGAACTCTCTTTTCCTTCATCCTTTCACTTATTTTATAAAGGTGATTCTGAAAATAAATCAGATCAAGCTATGTACATACTCAAAAGATTTCAGGAGTACCTCATTGTCCATAAAATAAAATTTTAAAAAAAGAACTCCAAGTTCTTATCTAACTTTATGCTCTGAAATTTCATATCACATTTTTCAGCACTTTCTTTTTAGACTTAACATATTATGCTTAGATTATAGTTAATTGTACACAAGTCTGTTTCTACAGTGTCTAATTTCCTCTAATTACCTTTGGACCAAGGACCATCTCTTATCTTTAAATTGTATACTCATTTCCTACACATAAATAGTATTCAACAAATGTTTGTTAATAAAAAGAAGAGGGTAGAGCAGTAGATATTTGACAAAATGAATTGAACCATATTGTTTTAAAGCATCAAGGAAGAAAAACTAAATCGTAGAAAATTTTTGTGCCATGGACCCATACTCTAAAGTGTTATAATCCTCTCTAGGGGGTGATGGGAGTGATGAAGACAGAATCTCTTTTAAATTTGTCTACCATGTATTCCAAAAACTAGTAGCTCATTATTATGTGTGTGGGAGTGAGGGTGAGGGTAGGGGTGGGGGAGGGGGTGGATATTCTTATCTGGGGCATTCTGTTCATAAATAAGCAAGTACTATTCTAATTAATTAATTTTTAGTACAAATTAGATGAACACTGAGGAGTTGAAACATGGAGAAGATTTGATGGAAGCAGGTGAGAGGGGTATGCCTAGAGTATGAAACATAGCAAGAAAGGTAGGAGAGTCTAAAAGACAACTTTGGCCAACTTTATAATCATCCACAAGACTCTTAGACAGCTGTTAGAAGGCAGACAGCAACGTTTCCAATGCCAAACTATTTAGATTCAAATACGGGTTCTGCCACTTCAATGGCATTATGACCCTATGAAAATCACTTAATCTCTCTGCTGTGGAGTGAACTGTGTCCCTCAAAAGTCATACGCCAAAGCCCTAAATCCCAATGTGACTACATTTGGAGATTGGGTCTATAAGGTAATTAAGGTTAAGTGAAACCACAGGGAGGGGCCATGATCCAATAGGATTAGTGTCCTTACAAGAGACACTAGAGAGCTAGTGTGCTCGATCACTAGCTCGACAGAGACTCACTCTCTGTCTCTCTGCTATCTGAGGACACAGCAAGAAAAGGCTGCCTGCAAACCAGCAAGAGGGCTCTCACTATGAACCCAATTGGGTAGCATCTTGATCTTGGACTTCCCAGCCTCCATAACTATAAGAAAATAACTGTATGTTGTTTAAGCCATTCAGTCTGTGTTATTTGTCACGATGGTATTATGGTATTCAGCTGAGTTGACTAATATACTCTCTAAACCTCAGCTTTGACATATCTAAAACAAAAATATGTAGCGAGGGATAGATAAAATAGTCCACGCATAGCACTTGGTACAATAAACTAATACTATGGGGGTTTGTTTTAAGTAATAAGAATTCAAAAGGAAAAACTTTAAAGAAAATGACTTTCATTCTGTATGAACTGCCCTATCTATTACCATATGTTCATAAATGCAACAAGGATGCTCTCATCCACCCCAGAGTAGTCTAAAGGCTAGAATACATGTGAAGATCTTTGCTATAACGTACCAAGGTATGCTTGCAAAGCATTGTCAGAGCCATGGTCTGAAGTTTCTGGATTACCATTAGCCCAACTCATCTATTCATTAGGGTAGATGCAGAGTGAGTGGTTGCTCAATAAATAAGGAACCATCTGTATCCTTCTGATTTTAAGATAGTTGTTGAGTTTTTTGTTTGTTTTATTTTGGCTATTTGCCTTTATTTGCACAAGAACCCTTTATTTGGCTTCCTGGAATATTACAGGGTTTAGTTTTGTTTTGTTTTGTTTTGTTGGTTTGTTTATTCACTTTATTTTGGCTTTTGCCTTTATTGGCACAGGGAGCCTTTATTTGGCTACCTAGACTGATGGAGATTACCTAGGTTAAAGCCACGTAAATAGTATTTGAATATTTTATGTTTGAATTTATAGAAAGTAAATATAATTTGGTAAGGTTACTCTCACATATGAGAGCCCACTACCTGTGACAACTGCTTTGTCCAATTCTTACCTTATTTGAGTGATTGGGCTGGTGAACAGGTGTCTCCATTTCCCCAAACACTCAATGTGGGTTATTGGGATTCTGAGAGCATTTCCCAAAAAGAAGTAGTCTCCTTCAGAAAAAGCTAAAGTAAAACTCTACAATCAGGACTGGATCTGAAAATTAGTCAGCTCAGGAAAGGGAAATCAAAGAAACAGAGGACATAAAGTCCCTGTATTAGAAATCTTAATGTGAATGCAAACTAAACATTAGCTTAGAGTTGTGCCATGCATATTTAAAACAGCACACATACACACAAAATTTTAAACCTAATAAACTAATAGTTAACAATAAATCATATCCATTATGTTTTTAATACAAGCAAACAATTTTCTGAACTACTAAAGTTTAATCCAATCACACCAGGAAACTATGAATAGATTATAATATCACCCAAGAGATTAAGCTACTAAATTTATCTGGGGCCTTAAATAGATTATCTAGAGCAGTTTTGCATGAATCCGCTTAGTATGGTATTTTCAAGCCTTTTTTTAAATGTGAAAGTAAATATTTTGATACATTCATTTTGTGCACTTATCACATAGAAACATCATTAGCTGCATTTTTAAAAAATTTCACTTACTTTTTTATCTACTGTGGGTTCGGGGAGAGTACTGGTAGACATATGAAAGAGATGGATCTCTAAGAGGGTCCATGTTGAAGGTTTAAAGTAATAGGTGGGCTCCTTGGAGACAATCTGGATGTGAA